CGAAGTGATTAAGGATGGTCAATCCCCTCGAAGCAATCAAGGAGGCCGATCCCCTCGAAGCGATCATTATCATTCTCTTTCTCCCTTTTCTTCCACGATAAGACCTTAGGGTCTTACCATTTGGTATTATAGGCCTTATCATTTCTTTCATTTATTTTATGATAAGACTTTAGGGTCTTATCAATTAGTATCAGAGCGACGATAAGGCTTTAGGGTCTTATCATTTGGTATCAGAGCAACGATTCTTGGCGTAGCCCGCCATAGCCTTGCTTCCCTTCTTCCCCACCACCACTACAAGCTAACTCTTTCTCCACCGCTGTCGCTGTTTCCCTGGCCGCTCGACCACCGTCGTTGCTTCTCCCCGGCCAGTGACCTTCGACCACTGCTCGACCACCACTCGACCTCCTCGCTGCCTCAACTCGTTCAAAAAAAAAAAAAAAAAAGAAGAAACAAGAGAGGAAGAAGAAGCCGCAGCCACCCCTGTGTCCCTTGCTTCCGGCCAGCCCACCCGCCAACGCCCACCATCACCCCGTTTCCTGGCCAGAGGCCACCGTCACCCGTCGCCTCCCAAACGAGCCACCACTGCTGCCTCCTTCTCCACTACCGCCCGCCTCCCCTTGCGTCGTAGCACAGCTGCTCGACCTCTCCTTCTCGACGATCGTTGGTGATGCTGCTCCCAGCCGCGCCACCACCGTCGCCCGCTTCCCCTTGGGTCACTGTCGCAGCCATTGGTTGTCGGCCTCCTCGCGACGATCGAAACAAGGCAACTCACGGATTGCCCTTGTTCCCAACCGCGTCACCACCACTTTTCCTAATCGCTTCACCGCCACTCGATCACCCGACCACGATCTCTCCTCCTCGCGTCCCCATCTTGCTCGAGCGAGAAGGACCACCGGCACCGCAGTCGTAGCCGTCGGTTGCCCCAGCCCCTCCTTGCAGCGGTTGTAGAAACAGAGCTTCCTTTGTTGCCACAGCCCCTCGTCGATCGCAGCCGCGCCTCGAGTGTCATCGCCTTCCAACAGACCCACCACATATATATATATACATATATATGTATACATATATATATATATATATGTTCATATATATATATATATATATAAATATATATATATGTATACATATATATGTATATATATGTATACATATATATATATATATAAATATATAAATATATATATATATATATATATATATA